CACAAATAGCTAGGATTACAGGCATCCATCATCACGTCCAGCTAATTTTTATTTTTTAGTTTTTTTTTGAGACAGAGTCTCACTTTGTCGCCCAGGCTGGAGTGCAGTGGCACAATCTTGGCTCACTGCAACCTCTGCCCCCCAGGTTCAAGTGATTCTCCTGCCTCTGCCTCCCGAGTAGCTGGGATTACAGGCATCTGCCACAGCACCTGGCTAATTTTTGCATTTTTATTAGAGATGAGGTTTCACCATCTTGGCCAGGCTGGTCTTGAACTCCTGACCTCAGGTGATCTGCCCGCCTCGACCTCCCAAAGTACTGGGATTACAGGTGTGAGCCACCCCGTTGACCTTCTCTTTCTTAACTTTGGGTTCTTCAGATGGGGAGGAGGTGGCAGCAAAGGCATATTCATATCATCTTGCAACTAATGCCAATTTGCTCATGTCTGTTTCCCAAATACCTGTGAAATACACAAGGGCACGGGATTACCTCGTTATCTCCAGATGAGTGAAATGCCATGCACATCTCGATGCTCAGTAAATATTTATTGAATGGCAAATACTTAAAATCTGTGTGACTATTTTTGTATTCATGTTAATATTCACAAAGCCTCTATTGGATAATCAGGGGGCAGGTGGTATTATCCTGTTTTCAGAGTGTGAATATTTTTAAACTTCGTATCTGTGATCAAATGAGTTACTTTTCCAAAGAGTTGCATTGCTATTAGTGATCACGGGAAAGCCCAGAGCATGGAAGCTCCTTACTCCTATCCCATCATTCTTTCCCCCAAACCCTTCTGTCCTTCCAACAAGACACTTGTGGTGGCATCAGTAGCAAGACAGGTAAAGATTCATAGGCACTAAGATGTCCTTTTGATTTAAAAAATACCTTCATCTGCCTTCCTGGTTACACTCTCTTCTCCCCAGATATACAAAGAAACCTGATCTTATGAATCTCAGAACTCCACAAAATATTTTGCTTTTGGAGGTTGACCAAAGTGCCAAAATGCAGCGATTGATGAGTGTGAGGAAAGGAGACAGAGCAGTAGATTAGGTGGTGCATATGTGTTGATTTCCTCCTTGGATCCTGAATGTAGACACAATCTATGACTATTTGCCTGTACCAAGCCAGTTAAGCAGAACTGGGGCATTAGTGGTACTGAATTTTATCCGCTATTATAGAACTCAAATGGGCTGGGCATGGTGGCTCATGCCTGTAATCCCAGTACTTTGGGAGGCCGAGACAGGTGGGTCACCTGACATCAGGAGTTCGAGACCAGCCTGGCCAACATGGAGAAACCCCGTCTTTACTAAAAATTCAAAAATTGGCTGGGAGTGGTGGTGTGCACCTGTAATCCCAGCTACTCAGGAGGCTAGGCAGGAGAATCACTTGAGGCCGGGAGGCAGAGGTTGTAGTGAGCTGAGATCATGCCACTGCACTCCAGCCTGGGTGACAGAGACCCTGTTTCAAACAAAACAAAAAACCCTCAAATGGTTAAAAGTAACCGTTCTCATCACATCAGGGGAACAGGGCAAGGTATTATGGGGATAAAAATCAGTAGAACATGAATGCCAACCATCCTCCTAGAGTTACAGAGCTAACAGATGTCTGAAATATTGAGCCTAAAAGTAGCTACTTGTGCCGTGCCATCTCCCTCAACCCCCACAGTGGATGGCAGAGCCCTAACAATGTCATAGCCAGATTTATTTTTACTTTATAAAATTAAATATGTGATTATTTAAAAAATACTAGTATACAAGAGGGAAGTCAATTTAAAAGTTTATTTGGGCCTTGCGTGGTGGCTCCCAGTAGCCTGTAATCCCAGTACTTTGGGTGCCTGCGGTCGCTTGAGCTCAGGAGTTTGAGACCGTCTTTACTAAAAATACAAAAATTAGCCAGGTGTGGTGGTGTATGCCTGTAGTCCCAGCTACTTGGGAGGCTAAAGTGGGAGGATTGCTTGAACCCGGTAAGGTTGGAGGTTGCAGTGAGCTGAGATCGCCCCACTGCACTCCAGCCTGGCTGACAGAGCAAGACTGTCTCAAGACAAACAAAACAAGCTTATTTGATAGGCCTTAAGGGATATTCCTATACTTCAGCTATTATGAAAATAATAGCAACAGAGTAGATGAAAAGATTGATTACACAGCTGTAAGACTTTACTAATGTAACATACAGAAGACATGTTTAGGTGATCAGGGCGGCGCACCTGACGGCAGCTAGGGAGCATCACCTGAGGCTGAGGGTATAACCCACGACAGTCGGTGGGGCTGAATGCAGTCCACAAGTTCTCTGGGTAGCCTGCTCCATTGGCAAGATGACCTCACTGGGCCACCTCCTCTAAGAATTCTTCTTACCTTTAACTGCTCTCTTCACATTTTTGTTTTTCCCCATTTATTGGCCTTCTTCAAAGACACTATTTTGTGTCCATATAGAATTATTACGATTTATCTAGGGAAAAGCTTGAGTGGAAAGTGAGAAAAATGAGAGAAAATGTTAAACAACAGTAACAAATGTTAATGTTCGCTTAATTCATTAAACATTAAGGAAATGTTTAATGAAATTATTTGATGTCTATGAGCTTCTGATTCTTTTTTAGATAAATGAAAACATCCTAAAGAATGAAATTGTTTCTTCAGCAATACTTAAAATTTTTTTCCTGTGATCTGAGAGACAAAACTTTATTAATAGTCAATCTAAAAAGGAGGGAAAGTTATGGAATACAGGAAGATCCTTACAAGAAAATTTCTTGGTAAAAGAGGTCCAAATTTCAACACCCTTCCAGATGGGTTAGTGAAACAGCAAATGGACCTCACTAAAAGGCAGTTAAGCTATAGACTCTGAGGACAGTTAAAAAGAGGAACTTCACTGCAGAAAATAGAACCAGAGACAGGCTGAACGTGAGCTAGTTTTAGGCATTCATGTTGAATAACCATTTGTTGATACGGCCGTATCCAATTATAATCAGGTTAAAAATGGCTATTCTGTTAAAAAGGGGAAAAAAAAAAAACCTTAATGCTGAGGACTAGCCCTAGCCTCCCAAAGAAAAAAAACCTCTAGAAGTGGGAATGTATTATGTCTTAGTGAGACTTGAGAGAAATTATGTTTAGACACATGCTGTGTATCTCTTTGGTTCCATATTTACCATGTAATTTTCAGAAAATGAATCCTCATTTGCAAGTACATATTCTGGCAATGGAAGGCCTTTTTCTGTTGAGTAACCAGGTGAGCTATTTATGTTAAAATAAAAATTTTTTCTATTGAAAAAAATAGGCATATGAAAGTTAGCATTTAAATTTTTTTTCTTCTAACATCTTTTTTTTTTTTTAATTATACTTTTAATTTCTGGGGTACATGTGCAGAACATGCAGGTTTGCTACATAGGTATTCACGTGCCATGGTAGTTTGCTGCATCTGTCATGCTGTCATCTACATTAGGTATTTCTCCTAGCCCCCCAACCCCTGACAGGCCCTGGTGTGTGAGGTTCCCCTCTCTGCGTCCATGTGTTCTCATTGTTCAACATCCACTTATGAATGAGAACATGGGGTGTTTGGTTTTCTGTTCTTGTGTCAGTTTGCTGAGAATGATGGTTTCCAGCTTTATTCATGTCCCTGCAAAGGACATAAACTGAGCCTTTTTTATGGCTGCATGGTATTCCATGGTGTGTATGTGCCACATTTTCTTTATCCAGTCTATCATTGATAGGCATTTGAGTTGGTTTCAAGTCTTTGCTATTGTGGACAGTGCTGCAATAAACATACATATGTGTGTGTCTTCATAATAGAATGATTTATAATCCTTTGGGTATATACTCAGTAATGGGATTGCTGGATCAAATGGTATTTCTATTTCTAGATCCTTGAAGAATCACCACTCTTCCACAATGGTTGAACTAATTTACACTCCCACCAACAGTGTAAAAGCGTTCCTGTTTCTCCGCATCCTCTCCAGCATCTGTTGTCTCCTGATTTTTTAATGATTGCCATTCTAACTGGCGTGAGATGGTATCTCAATGTGGTTTTGATTTGCATTTCTCTAATGACCAGTGATGATGAGCTTTTTTTCATGTTTGTTGGCCGCATAAATGTGTCCTTTTGAGAAGTGTCTGTTCATATCCTTTGCCCACTTTTCGATGGGCTTGTTTTCTTGTAGATTTGTTTAAGTTCTTTGTAGATTCTGGGTATTAGCCCTTTGTCAGATGGGTAGATTACAAAAATTTTTTCCCATTCTGTTGGTTATCGGTTTACTCTAATGATAGTTTCTTTTGCTGTACAGAAGCTCTTTAATTAGATCCCATTTGTCTAATTTGACTTTTGTTGCCATTGCTTTTGGTGTTTTAGTCATGAAGTCCTTGCCCATGCCTATGTCCTGAATGGTATTGCGTAGGTTTTCTTCTATGGTTTTTATGGTGTCTTATGTTTAAATCTTGAATCCATCTAGAGTTGTTAATTTTTGTATAAGGTGTAAGGAAGGGATCCAGTTTCAGCTTTCTGCATATGGCTAGCCAGTTTTCCCAGCATCAGTTATTAAATAGGGAATCTTTTCTATTAAATAGGAATCCTTTCTTCAATCCATACTAGTACAGCATGGTACTAGTACCAAAACAGATATAGACCAATGGAACAGAACAGACGCTGCAGAGATATTGCCACACATCTACAACCATCTGATCTTTCACAAACCTGGCATTTAAGTTTTTAAGAAGTAACGTAGTTTTTACTTTCCCTCTGGAAAGTTCCGACCCCAAGATTAATTTAATAATTATAACAAAATGAAAGTGAACACTGAAGATCTAACAAGTACATTATTAGAAGTTTATAAAAGGATGAGTGCTAAAATTTTCCTATTTTTGCTGCCTTTTTGTTTTAACCCTGAAGTTTTAGTAAGGAAATTGCAATATGAAACAGGATATAAAAAAGTGTTAAATACTTCATTAAAACTCAGAAATGGCTAGGGTAAGATGTAACCAATGTAGGCTTATAAAAAACATGAAGGCACACTGCTATATTTCATATTTTATTCAATTTTAATATGGTTTCCATTAACTTTTAAAACAAAATGATTTCCAGTTTAAAAAACAACGCACTGACCACATAATTCCTTTTTTATTTTACACAGTTATACAAATATTCTAAATACACATTTTGTGTTCAAGATGATGGCAAATAAGATTAACTGTACAGTACGTAAGGAAAGAAAATATTTTAAGCATATTTAGAAGCAATAGAAATGTCTATACAAAACAAGCAAATGGAATAAAATTTTTTATTTTTAAAGTATTGCAACAGGCCCACAGGTTTGTAACAAAAATGTCTTTGCACAGTTCCTCACAATGCCCCATTAATAGCTAAAGCAAGACAGCATTTTTTTTTTAAAAAATAATGTTTCAAAATGCTACACATGGTACTACTGTGTTTGCACAGTTTGATCAAAATAACGATCTACTTTGAGTCAAGCAAAACCTAGAGGAAATATACCAAACAACTTGAAAATCATTTGTATAAAAGTCATTGCACATTATTTTACTCAGTTGTTTGAAAAGTAAAAAAGTGTATTTACAAAATATTTTGCAGTCAAAATTATAAAGCAAATGGATATCTCGAAGTAACACGTCTTGATACAGACTGTTCAAGGAAAACACACGAATGTTTTTTCTTTAAGAGGTTTTCAGTGCTCCTTCCACAGGGAAGTAAACATGATCTAGTCAAATGGATTTACAAGATGGTACACATACTGGAGCAAATCCAACACCTGCATTATAAAACAATGTTAAAAAGGTGACAGAATGAGGAATTTGTACATTATAAGAAGTGAGCTATTCAGAGATCAACAAGTACAATTTTTAATTCAGTTAGCATAGAAGTCTTCATAGTCTTCAGATAACAGACAGACAGTGAACATCCTTGACTCGATGAAAGTTAAAAAGCACCATGCACAACAGTTTAGTGGTAAACACTGAAAAAAAAATAGCACCTGTAATTCTGTGACATTGACAATTTAAAACTGGTCTAGTAATTGCCGGAGATATGGTGCCTTGGACAGTTCTCTATTTACTCGGGAGAGTTTGAAAAGTACTGGGCAGTTCAGAGAAACACATGGGATGTGTCGATCAAAGCAACCTGTACAGTTCCTGCATATCTGAAAGCATAAGAGAAATAAAAAAAATAGGAAAGTTTTTATGCACATGTGTAAACAACACATTTTTACACAGATTACTGGCAGACATATGACATATAATATAAAAACTTTTATTAATTTTCATCTCTTAGAAGCCAATACTACCCTATGTTGAGACATTTCTAAAGGATATTATTTTGTACACACATAATACAAATTTCCCCAAGAATTCATTTCATTCCTGAGATTAACTTCCATTTACAATGGAATCCTATTAAAATCCACATAAGCTACCCAATTACCAAAGAATGTCTCTTAAATGAACTATACACACAATTTGTTTCAAATTACTTAGACTATATCCTCGTATGTCAATCATAAAAAAAGTTATTTTTTCTTATTCCAGAATTGAAAAGCCAATATGAAAGAAATCAAATGATGTGAATTTGAAAGTAGTGGTATAGATCAGTGTTCAATGAGCTTGAAAATAAACAAATGCCCCATCCCAGACCCATAATGAATCAGAATCTCTGGGCATGAAAGCCTAAGAATTTGTATTTCTTAAGGCTCCCAGATGATCTGGATGTATAAGACTGATCTTAAAGAAAATAATAAATCATAAGGCAATTTTTAAAAGAAGCATTATGTTTTACACAATGATCAGATTTTTAAAAATACTTAAAGCCTCAGGTTGCATATACAGCTAAAAAAAGATTACAACATGAACATAAAAAAATAAGGATGCCAGTGAGGACTCCCAAGGGTTAAGAAAATGCAGGCCAACTTTTCACCTGAATAGTGTAGACAAGTGATTTTAAAAAGCAATACCAAATGGCAGCAACTACTCTGGACTGTCTTTTAAGAGAAATCAGATATGCTCTAGCAAATTCTTTGATCTATATTTATCAAAGGGTTTCAGTTTTAGAGGTGGCTCACAGGCCAGTACATTTTTGTTCTTTGCCCCAGTTATCTTCCAGTCAACCGAAGGGCACTTTTTTTCTCAGTAGACTGGTTACTGTATCCAATATTATGATATTGTCACAAGCAGACTGCTTAGAAACATGTGCTTCAGTATGCTCCATGAAGACTGAGTATGCTGTTCTATGATATGAAGCCTTTGCTAATTACATCTCTGCCAAGAGACTCAAATCTATTCCCAAATATAGAATTTCTGTATTACAGCTCTATGAATTGCAGTTACATTCAGGTGCCAGGACAAACTGATAAATATTTAAGCCCTTTCTGTGCTTGTCTGATAAATAAGCCGGGATGGAATTACTTGACTCACTAAATTTAACTCAGTGTTTAGTTTCAAGATCCTTTACTGGTGATTTAAACCCTGAGCATTATAGCTTGATTCAGGCTTACATTTAAAACTTTAAATGCCCCAAGCTGGATATCTACTTTGTAGCTTATAGGGAGGCAGGCACTTAACAAATATCTGCTTTAATCTTTATTATTTTTACTATCCTTTGGCTTTCTTGTTTTAAAAAAATTCAGTCAAGGCTGGGCGTGGTGGCTCACGCCTCAATCCTAGAGCTTTTGGAGGCCGAGATGGGTGGATCACCTGAGGTCAAGAGTTTGAGACCAGCCTGGCTCCCGTGGTGAAACCATCTTCACTAAAAATACAAAAATTAGCTGGGTGTGGTGGTGCGCACCTGTAAGGAGGCTGAGGCAGCAGTATCACTGGAACCTGGGAGGCAGAGGTTGCAGTAAGCGAAGATCACGCCACTGCAACCCAGCCTGGGTGACAGAGTGAGACTCTGTCTCAAAAAAAATCAGTCCGATGCTTAATTCATTTGCTTTCATTCTTTCATGTTTATGATGAACAGTGTTTAGGTGAATTTTTCTATGAGATCTGCCATCTAGAATCTGATTGGCAGTGTTTTCATTTTGTTTAACAGAATTTGCAAGTGGAAAGATCACTTTTTTTTTTTTAGTTTGTAATTATCATTTTTATAGCATTGCATTGTATTACATTGATTTGTAATATTTCTACTTTTTGAAATGTATTGAGGCTTTTTATTTTTTTTGAGATAGAGTCTCACTCTGTTGCCTAGGCTGGAGTGCAGTGGCACAATTTTGGCTCACTGTAACCTCCACCTCCTGCCTCAACCTCCCAAGTAGCTGGGATTACAGGCGCCTGCCATCATGCCCAGCTGATTTTTGTATTTTTAGCAGAGATGGGGTTTTGTCATGTTGGCTAGGCTGGTATTGAACTCCTGACCTCAAGTGATCCTCCCACCTCAGCATCCCAAAGTGATGGGATTACAGGTGTGAGCCACAAGGCCCAGCTGAGGCTTTCTTTAAAGACTATGATTTTTTTTTTTTTTTTTTTTTTTTTTTTTTTTTTTTTTTTTTTTTTTTTTTTTTTGACAGAGGCTTGCTCTGTTACCCAGGCTGGAGGTCAGTGGTGCAATCGGCTCACTGCAGCTTCTGCCTCCTGGGTTCAAGTGATTTTCCTGATTCAGCCTCCCGAGTAGTTGTGAGTACAAGGCTTATGACACTGTGCCTGGCTAATTTTTGTATTTTTTAGTAATGCTGGGGTTTCTCCATGTTGGCCAAATGCCTCAAACTCCTGACCTCAGGTGATCTACCTGCCTTGGTCTCCCAAAGTGTTGGGATTACAGGCATGAGCCACCATGCCTGGCCAGATATGGCCATTTTTAAAGCATTCCAGAAGCACTTAAGTATAGTTTTCGGTACTGTGTTACAGAGTTTGATATATAATCAAAAGGTCTTACTTACAATGTTTAGAATTTCAATAATTTCACTTATTTCTGATTACGTGATTGGTCTTGGACTGAGAATGATGTAAAATCTGTTTTGATGTGTTTCTAATTCTCATTACATCTCTAGCAATTTCTGCTTCATTAAAAATTTCTACAAATTAGTGCATGGGGAGACATTCATTTGAACATTCCTGAAAAACACCTCAAATTAAAATAACTCTTGAAAGATGACAAACCATCATTATTTATAAATAGCATCACTTTTTGTTAATAAAAATTTTAGATCTAAGGGTGCACATGTAGGTTTGTTACATGGGTGTATTGTGTGATGCTGAGGTTTGGACTTCTAATGATCCTGTTGCCCAAGGAGTAAATGTAGGACCTGACAGCTGTTTTTCAGTTTTCCTCTCCCTATCCCGCTTTTGGAATCCCTAGTGTTTACTGTTCCCATCTTTATGTCCATTACTCCCCAATGTTTAATATATGTGAGAACTTATATGTGAGAACATGCATATTTGGTTTTCTGTTTCTGTGTTAATTTGCTTAGGATAATGGCTCCAGGTGCATACATATTGCTGCAAAGGACATGATTTTTTGAGACAGAGTTTTGCTCTTGTTGCCCAGGCTGGAGTGCAATGGCACAATCTCAGCTCAGTGCAACCTCTGCCTCTTAGGTTCAAGTGATTCTCCTGCCTCAGCCTAATGAGTAGCTGGGATTACAGGCATGTGCCACCGTGCCTGGCGAATTTTTTATTTTTAGTAGAGACGAGGTTTCTTCATGTTGGTCAGGCTGGTCTCGAAATCCTGACCTCAGGGGATTCGCCTGCCTCGGCCGCCCAAAATGCTGCGATTACAGGCATAAGCTACCACGCCTGGCAAATTTTGTTCTTTTTTATGGCTGTGGCATCGCTTTCTTTTAAACTATATTTTTATAAGAAATAAGATGGCCGGGCATGTTGGTTCATGCCCGTAATCCCAGCTGAGGTGGGAGGACTGCTTGAGTCCAACAGTTTGAGTCCAGACTGGACAACATAGTAAGATATGTCTTACTAAAAAAAGAAAAAAGTTAGTCAAGCATGGTGGCATATTCCTGTAGTCCCAGCTGCTTGGGAGGCTGAGCTGGGAGGTTGACTTGAGCCTGGGAGGTTGAGGCTGCAGTGAGCTGCGATCATGCCACTGCACTTCTGTCTGGGTGACAAAGGGAGACCTTGCCTCAAAACAACAACAACAAACCAAACACCTTATGTTGAAGGGGATGGGCACTGGGTAAACTGATGGCACCAAGTAGTGATGTGTTTGTCACTGAGTGCAGAAAAACATAAAAGGTCTAGGAAAGGCCCATTTAACAGCCTGAGCTCAGCAGGGCTCTGGAAGTCCTGCTCTCATCTGGGCCTCATACTAGGATCCAGCGAGGGAATTTTCTATGAAAGTTGGCTGCTGCCATCAGGACAGAAACCTATAAAATAAACAGAAGCTGGGAGCACTCAGTGACTTCAGTGGCTGTGCTGACTAGAACCACAAAACTGGCACAAAATGGCTGAAAGGTGGTTGGTGTAACTCCAGTAATGTATTCCTTCTTTAATCATTCATTTAGCAGGAAGTTGTTCATTCATTCAATAAATGTTTACAGACCAGCCCCATGGACTTGGCTATATGCTAGGCATAACTGATTTGACAGTGAAAGAACAGGGCCTCTGTCCTCATTGGCTCATTTGCTATTAGTGAGGGAGACAGACAAACCCCAAATTACAATGAAGCAGAGAAGATTATGGCAGGAGCCTACTGCATGCTTCACCCAGTCCTCAGATGATGGGGGTAGGGTGGGATGGGTAGAGCAAAGTGTTCCTGACAGAAGGTGCAGGGTGTTTAAAGGCTAGGAGGAGGAGGAGGCAAGGGGCATTCACAGACCCAAAAGAAGTTCGGTATGGTATGGGTGGAGGTAGAGTGTGACACAGAGCGAGAAATGGTGACAGACGGGTAGCAGGTAAACAAAGATGACTTATCAACCATACTAAGGAGTAAGGATTTTATCAAGGGATATGAGGTGGGAAACTTTTCTTTAGATTTCATTCTCCAACTTAGTTCGAGATGTTTGTTATTTCTGCTAGAATTCTCATAATTGAAAAATCATCTTTTTATTTTATGTCTATATTCCCCTCAGCCACTTATCAGCAGTATAACATGCAAATCACTTAAAACTCTCTGTGTCACTCACCTGGAAGAGTGCCTAGAACAATCTCTGGCACACAGTATGACTCAATCATGCTATTAATCATCAATCTGGACTCACAGAATTGTAAACCTTCCAAGTTTACTAGCAAGCAATTCTCTAACACAACTAATTTTTTTTTTTTAAAAGAATGGTAAGCACTAATAGAGCAATTGAGTTGTTTGCTTTCTTTCTTTTTTTTTTTTAATACTGAATATCCCTTATTTGAAATGCTTAGGACCAGAAGTATTTCAGATTTCAAATTTTTTCAGATTTTGGAATATGTGAATTATACTTACTGGTTGAGTATCACTAATCTGAAAATCTGAACTCTGAAATGCTCTCATGAGCATTTCCTTTGAGAGTCATGTTGGTGTTCAAAAACTTTCAGAATCTGGAACATTTTGAATTTTGATTTTTTTCAATTAGGGATGCTCAACCTATATGATAAAAGAAATTGGAGTTGGGCATGGTGGCTCACCCACTTTGGGAGGCCAAGGTGGGCGGACTGCCTGAGCTCAGAAGTTTGAGACCAGCCTAGGCAACACAGTGAAACCCCACCTCTGCTAAAAATACAAAAAATTAGCCGGGTGTGGCAGTGTGTGCCTGTTGTCCCAGCTACTCGGGAGGCTGAGGCAGGAGAATTGCTTGAATCTGGGAGGCGAAGGTTGTAGTGAGCTGAGATTGCGTCACTGCACTCCAGCCTGAGCAACAGAATGAGACTTCATCTCCAAAAAAACAACAAAAAAAGAAATTGGATGGATGGTCATTCTTGTTCTAGCTATTAAACACAACACATTCTCTCGCTGTTCCCACCTTAAAAAAAAAAAACACACACACACAACACACTATTCCATAAAAAAAGTTATAAAACAAATTAAACTATTATTAATAGTTTATGATACTTTTGAGATTTTTAGGAAGTTTATCATTTAGACTCTCATTTCACTTTACACATCAGTTTCATATCTTATTCTTAATTGTAGAGTTGACTATATCTTCCTGTAAAATCAGACTGCTTATAATTCCAGGTCTATGGAACAAAAGCATACCTTTACAAGTTGCTCCTGTTTACGTTCCATCTCCCGGATTTCTTGGTTGAGGATGACTGCAACATGCTGAGGTTGGCTCCGACATTTACTACAGATGCCATGCTGAGTTAGATCATCACACACAGGACAGTGTAAGGTAGTAAAATATTGTGAAATAGTGCCTTTCCGCCCTTCAGGTTCACTTCGCGAAGAGCTGGAAGCTTTATGGATCTACAAAAACATCCATTCAGAAGTTAAGTCTGAGTCAGCTTCACATCAGAGATACTATTTTCATGCTGATTAGAGGTTTACTCAGGCATTCATTCATTCACTCACTCACTCATTCAACAAATGTTGGGTGGCTACTGTGTGCCAGGCACTGTTCCAGACACTGGAGCTATAGGAATGAATGAAGTCCTTGCTTTCATGGAACTTACATCTTAATATTATCAGATACACTGTTCTTTTTTTCTTTGGGGAAAAATAAGGTCTCTTGCCACTCAGTTTTTTGATTGAGACACATAGATGTATGAGATCATCTAGGGCAATGGACATCATAGAGGACAATAAAAGAAATCCAGGGTAAGAGCGGATACTGTCTGAAGCTGCACATTAGGCCATGGAAAAAAAGTAAGTGGAAGGTTAAAACAACTTTTAGGCAATGGAGTGCAGAACTCAAGCCAAAGTGAACCTGGAGCATTTCAAATTTAATTAGATACATGTCATAAGAATTCTTCATTTGAAGTTAAGGCTGTTTTCAGAGATCTGTCTTCTGGTACTCTTTTTACACTGAAATAACATTACCATATCATTATTACACTTTTGCAATATTCTCCTAATGTCTTTTACATCACTTTGTAAAAGTTACTAGGTTCGCCTCTTACAAATGTCATTGGTTTAACATTCTTGCTGGTGATGAAACGAACGTTAGTAATAAAGAATCTGAGTTTCCTGTCTTAAAGCTAGGATATGTGCTCAGAACACTTACAGTAAATTACAGTTGGGCAAGATCATCTAACACAAAGCTATTTTATAATAAAGTGTTGAATATCTCATGGAATTTATTGAATACTGTACTGAAAAAAAAAACAGAATGGTTGTATGGGTACTTGAACTATTGTTTCTACTGAATGCATATCACTTTTGTAGAAAAATCTTAAGCTGAACCATGATAAGCTGGGGACCAACTGTAATGCTATTTCACCATTGCAATACTTCTTTAGGCTGGTTTCTTCAGGGCTTTGTCTAGATACTAAATCCTACAGCTTTCTTAGACATTCATTTCAAAGGAATTTTTGTTCTCCATTTATCTTCTAACTAGTTTACTCTACATTATTCTTTGGCTGTTTACCACTGAAATCACTGTGGGATTTATTTTAAATATCTATAATTTGGCCACCTTGAAGCTAAGAAGATGTTTTTATTTTTTATTTATTTAAAAAAATTTTTTTTAGACAAACCTGACAAAAACAAGGAAGGTGTTTTTAGAATACTTTTAGGAAACCAGAAAAGCATGGCATCTTTTCCAGTTTAAGATAGATGATCTGCTTTGCTCTCATAGTGAAACAGGGCTGCTATGAGGCCTGTCTCTTCTCTGACTGCCCTGGCCAAACTCCACCTTTTCCTGCAGATCAGTGGGCTCCCAGCATGCCAGTGCCTCTCCGTGTGCTCTTCTGGCTAGCTGCTTGTGTGTCTGCCTGCTAGGGTCTTGGATTTTTATAGGCCTAGGATTGGGGTGTGGCAGGCCAGGATGGTATTGGAAAATGCAACATTTGGGTGTGAAAGCAGGAGTACCTAGTCTCACCTAGGTCCATGGAGTGGCGCTCTGGCCAGGGACCCACCTTTCTCTACCCAGCACTTTCCTTCCCGCTTTCCGTATCATTAAAGGGACCACGCTCTTCTCTTCCCAGCACTCCCACATCAATAGCACATAAAATCTTTAGTTCTACTGAAAATTTGAAGTGAAATCTCTCCATAGTTAGAGCACATGTACTATTTGGTAAGCTTACCCTTGGTAATTCATGATACCAGCTGAAGACATCAATACCAATAAGTGAGAAGATTCTTGCCAAAGGTGGAAGGATTTGCTTGGTAATATAATAAGTGGCATTCAGTCTTAGAGTCGGGTCCTGCAGGACTTCCACTGGGCGTCTGACAAGCTGGATAAGTGGTACTCCAGGGGCCCCATAAATGATGACGTATGGCACTCGCTCCCCAACTTGAGGCTCAGAGCGCCGGTCATAAGTTAGCATTTTCCTATTCAAATCCAAAAAAAAAAAAAAACACCCAAATACTGTCATGGAAGTCACCTTTCTCGCAAGTTAAGTCAGATTTAAACAATAATAAAATCATGAAAAAACTACAAAAGACACTTTAAAATAGACTATTTCTTTGGGAATATACATTTTGCTTAATTGACACCAAGCGTAGATATGCTACAAGAGTTTAAAAATTACTCTGTAAATAAAGAGTTCGCAGATATCAACTAGCTTAAGATATACTTTAGCTGGGGGCTCATGCCTGTAATCCTAGCACTTTGGGAGGACAACGTGGGAGCATCGCCTGAGCCCAGAAGTTTGAGACCAGCTTGGGCAACATAGTGAGACCCCCGTCTCCACACACAAAAAAATGAGCCAGCCATAATGGTACACACCTGTTATCCCAGCTACTTGAGAGGCTGATGTAGGAGGATTGCTTCAGCCTGGGAGATCAAGGCTGCAGTGAGCTGTGACTGCACCACTGCTTTCCAGCCTTGGTGATAAAGTGAGACCCTGCCTCTGGGGGTGGGAAAAAGATGTATTTTATCCCCTAAGAATAAGAACTATCATACATCTGTCATGAAAGAGAAAATTTAGGGGGTTAAACTATCTCATTCCAGAATGATACCATCTAAATGCTTTGGTAGATCAATATTAATGACTACCTAGTGGTTTTGAATGTGGGAAAAACAAATGAATCAAGCACTGAGTCACAATTTCTTTGCGTAAGTTTCCCAAGGAAAGCCCAAAAGAGGATTTCCTCTTCACACCTTACAAAGTATGAGGGAGTATTCACTAACTTTCAGTGAGGCTTCATGTGTGCAGGTAGAGAAACAATTGTGTTCTGTGTCTGTGGACTAAGTGTCTCTTCATTTACTCTAGACTTGTGCAGAACCCCAGGACTATCCTGGCAAGGTACTGAGGATATCATTACCTTGTAAGTTCAAGGGCTGGCACACAAGCTCCTGGTTTATAAGAAAAACTTCCTCTGTATTCCTTGGCAAAGATAAAGTCTTGTATGCTGGCCTTTCCTTCCAGAAGCTTCATACATTGTCGCTGAACATATTGTTTAATTAGACTTATATCTCTTGTTTCAAATAGCAGCTTTAGAGAACGCTCAAGTATCTTAAAACAAAAAAGATAAGCAAGTAAAGATAAAATATCTCCTAGTGTATTTCACCATTGTTATTATACTTTCAGTTATGTAACTACTGGGTAACTTGCTAACCTACCTAAATAATCTGTTACTTACAATGATGGTATAATAAAAATTATTAGAAAATGAAAGTTATTTGAGACTTTATAGAGCTTGTTATTTCTAAAAATAGAATATCATGTAGTTCATTTAGAATAACATGCAGATTAACATTTACTATGTGATAAGCAACATAAAACATTTAAGTTTTTTTTTTTTTTTTTTGAGATGGAGTCTCACTCTGTCATCAGACTGGAATGCAATGGTATAATCTTGGCTCACTGCAACCTCCACCTCCTGGGTTCAAGCGATTCTCCTGCCTCAGCCTCCTGAGTAGCTGGGACTACAGGTGTGAACTACCACACCCAGCTAATTTTTGTATTTTTAGTAAAGAGAGGGTTTCACCATGTTGGCTAGGATGGTCTCGATCTCTTGACCTTGTGATCCACCTGCCTCAGCCTCCCAAAGTGCTGGGATTACAGGCGTGTGCCACCGCGCCCAGCCAATTTTTTCTTTTTTAAATAGTCAAAACTGGTTTCTAGGCACAAGAAACCAGACACAATTTCATGTACTGTTTTTTATTTACCAGTATAGAAAGGGTCTTGCTTCAGTCACAGAAAGCACAGAGAAGTTTAAAGATCATCACACAGTCAAATCAAAATCAGCAGTTTTCACTTTTTATAGTGTTTAGATAAATAACTGTGACAGAATTTTCTGTGTTGGAGGTTTCTCCTAGGAAATAACAAGCATGGAGTGGATTTATGTAAGCAGATTAAATTTAAGTTAGTTCTAGGTGAAAGCTGTGTATCTTATTCTGAATACTGGAACTGATGGATATTTATACAATAAGCTGATTAATTTAGCTTAGGTACAATTCTGCCTGCAGAGAAAGAAGTTACTGGATTATATCTCTTCCAGGAATAGTGCTTAAAAAATCCCAAATTCACATATATGTATGACACAATATATTAATATTATCCATTATGCTTTTAATGCCCTCATAAAACAGTATATAGTATATAGAGTGCTATTCCCATTTACACCGTTTATTTTTGTTTTGCTATAGAAGGAGTCCAGGCCTGAGTAAAGAAAAAGCCAAAATATCATGGTTATTATGGTTGAGAAATTTGAGTAATTTATAGCTAATTGTTTGGAAATCAATTAGCCTCAGCCTCCCAAAGTGCTGGGATTACAGGTATGAGCCACCACATCTGGTCTGTTTCTCTTCTTTATACTGCTCTGCTTTTGGGAGTTGTTATACTATGACATATCCAGGCAATAGCCAAAAAACTTTCATGTTTTGAGACTAAAATCAAATAAATTGTTTTTGTTAGAAATAAAATCCTAGGTGCTCGGGAGGCTGAGGCAAAAAGACTGCCTGTGCCGAGGAGGTCAAGGCTGCAATGAGCCAGGACTGGACTACTGCACTCCAGCCTGGGTGACAAAGTGAGACCCTGTCTCAAACAAAAACTAAACTAAACTGAAATTCTCAAAATTCATGTAGTTTCTCCTATAGTTATAATAGTTATATATAATTATATAGGCTATAGTTCCTTCACGTAGATGTATGTTTAAGGATAGTTACATTTTATTATCACTTATTTCTTACAGATGAAGACAAGATAGATAAACCTTACCTTAGAAACAGCAGGGCAGGAATCTCTTCTAACTGTTTCTATTCCTTTTGCATCAAATACCGGGTCCTTCTGATCCAGTGTTTCATACATGTAACCCACATACCTCTTTTTTGTTTGTAAAACACAAGGCAAATATACCTGTGGTAAAATTAACAAAATGCCTCTTAATAACTATTTTCCCCTCACCAAGAATATTTTATTTTTATGTCTTTGACTTAGGGCCCAACAAATGCATGATATAACAGGTGGGGGCAAAAGCATACAAAATGAATTGTCTTTACATTGTTACCACTTGCTCACTCTGTTTCTTGCACTACCAGTTTTGTTCCTACCTCAACCAGCACTGCTCTCTCATATCTTCCTTAACAACTAAAAAGTTACAAGTAACATCTACATATGGTACAAAAAGTTATCAGAACCTACAGTTAAAAGCCCCGTAGCTTCTACTTCCTCCTCCTTAGAGGCATCCTGTGCTGATTTCCTGTGTATTCTTCCAGAAATATTCTATGCAAATTCATGTACTTATACAGCTGCCTTCTCACCACAATAATAGCTTGTCATATACACCATTCTGCCCTTTGCTTATTTCATAATTTATTTTGGAAAGCATTCCATCCTAGTACAGAAAGCTCATTTTATTTTGTAGCTACATAGTAGTTCATTGTATGAAGGTTATCATAATTTAAACATCAGTTACCTACTATGGGTCATTTAGGATGTTTTCAATCTTTTGGAATTATAAGGTGTTCCAGTAAACAATCTTGTGTGAACCAATCCATAGAATAAATTCCTTGAAATGGAACTCCTGAATCAATGATAGATGTCAATTTTTTTTTTAATGTTACTAATTTGGTCCTTTTCCCTGCCCCAAGCTTTTTCTTTTGTAAAATGTTTATTCATAGAGTCTCACTCTGTCACCTGGGCTGGTGTGCAGTGGCCCAATCTCAGTTCACTGCAACCTCTGTCTCCTGGGCTCATGCAATCCTCCTTCCTCCCACCTCAGCCTCCTGAGTAGCTGAGACTACAAGCGCATGCTACCATGCCTGAATAATTTTTGCTATATAATATATATATATATATTTTTTAAATATATATATAATATATATAAGCATATACATATATATATTTTTTTTGGTAGGGGCAGGGTTTTGCCATGTTTTCCAGGCTGGTCTCAAACTCCTGGGCTTAAGTGTTCTGCCCACCATGGCCTCTCAAAGTGCTGGGATTACAGGTATTGAGCCACCATGCCTGGCCTATTTATTTTTTAAGTGACAAAAATTGTATATATGTATAATATACATCATGTTGTTTTGAAATATGTATATACTGTGGAATACCTGAGCTTTATCATTAATCACATTAAATGCAAATGGTCAAAGCATACCAATTAACAGGCAGAAATTATCCTGGATAAAAAAAGTAAGACCAAATTATAAGCTATCTGTTAGAAACCCACTTTAAAAATAAGGAGCTAAATAGGTTGACAGTTTTTAAAATGAAAAAAGATATATAGTCATAGGCTACATGAAGACGTTTCAGTGAACTGTGGACAACATGATCATATGGGTGGTCAGGTAAGATTACAATACCATATTTATACTGTAATTTTCCATTTTTAAATTCATACTTACCACTGTGTTATAGCTGCCTACAGTATTCAGTGCAATAACATGCTGTACAGGTTTATGGCCTAGGAGCCATAGGCTATACCTGATAACCTAGGTGTTTAGTAGGCTTCATCATCTAGATTAGTACATTGTTGATGTTTGCACAACAAAACTGCCCAACAATGCATTTCTCCGCATCCTCCTCATTAAACAATGCATAACCGTATATGCTAACACTAATCAAAAGAAAGCTGGAGTAGTAGCTACATTAATATCAGAAAAAGCAGATTTCAAGGCAAGGAATATTATCAAAGATAAATGTATCAATTCATCAAGAGGATACATAATCCTAAATATGTAGTCATCTAAGAAGAAGACTTTGAAATATATGAAATATCAACAGACAGAACTAAAAGGTAGAGACAAGCAAATCCATGATTATAGCTACAGATTTTAGCACCTCTCTCTTAGTTTGGAAAATATTAAGAATATGGAAGGCTTGAATAAAAGTGTCAAGTAACTTAACCTAAGTAACATGGTATTAATATTCTTTTATAGCAGCATAAACAGGCTAAGACAATAACCTTTACTGAATAAAATTTAAACACTTTAGCTTGGCGTTCAAGACATTCTACAGTCTGGTCTGAACTTTATTTTTCCAGATCTGTCTCCTGCTATCCTGTATTTCTATATTGTGCTTTTCCAATTCCATACATGCCATATTCTTCTGTGCAGAACGATTGTAGCCCCATGTCTGCCTATTGAAATTCTAGCCATTTTTCAGGACAACGATGAACTGTTACTTCCTATATGGAGTCTCCCTCCTCCTTTCCTGTGCACTCTCACAGTGTTTAAGCAGTGTTTAAGCAATGATGCTTTCTGTTATGTTTATAACAAAAGAGATTGGTTATATGCACTCCAAACCTTTCCTTTTAGATTACTGACTCTTAGAGGGCAGGACTGTGTCTTATGCTTCTTTGTATTCCACACAGTTTCTAGGCTAAGTATCTTTTTTTTTTTTTTGAGACAGAGTCTTGCTCTGTCCACCAAGCTGGACAATGGTGCAGTCTTGGCTCACTGCACCCTTCTCTTCCTGGGTTCAAGTGATTCTCCTGCCTCAGCCTTCTGAGTAGCTGGGATTACAGGCACCTGCTATTTTTTAGTAGAGACAGGGTTTCGCCACATTGGCCAGGCTGGTCTCGAACTCCTGACCTCACGTGATCCACTTGCCTCAGCCTCCCAAAGTGCTGGGATTACAGGTGTGAGCCACAATGCCTGGCCATAGGCTAAGTATCTTTTATACAGAAAGAAAGAAATATATATTTGATATCTAAAGGTAAGTGAAAAAATAGTTGAAAAGTCCCTTTGGTAGACTTTGTTTTGCAAAGAAAGAATGTATCTTCCTTCCTACGTGGTCTTCTTACAATGTGACTTTGATATTCTTCCTATTAATGGTGCGGTCTATGTTCACTCCCCTTAAATCTAGAGAGGAGTGTGACATTGTGTGACTTTGAGCCTGGGTCACAAAAAACAAGGCAACTTTTGTCTGTTTCTCTTTGGGATGTTCATACCTAGAAAGCAAACCTCATGTTGTGAGGGAGAACAGCAGCACCAGTGAAAGGCCACTGGTAGGTGTTGCAGCTGATGTCCCAACCAGCAGCCAGCATCAACCACCAGGCATGATGGTGAGCAAGCTTCAAATGGTTTCAGCTCTTAGTTGTTGATTAGGTAACCCCTAACCTTTAAGTCATCTCAGCTGAGGAACTAGACATTGTGCAGCAGAGAAAAGCCATTCCAATTGTCTGCATTCCTGAGCCATAAAATCTGTGAGCAGAATGAAATGCTGGCTCTTTTACACCATTAAGTTTGAGGATGATCTGTTACATAATAATACTGGAACAAATTTTCATTTCCTTACATATATACATTACTAAACAAATTTTGAGAAAATTATACAAAAGAGAAAATATTTAAAATGTAATATATATATATTTTTTAAAGAGACAGGGTCTTACTTTGTTGCCCAGGCTGGAGTGCACTGGTCAATCACAGTTCACTGTAACATTGAACTCCTGGGCTCAAGTGATCCACCCACTTCAACCTCTGAAATAGCTGGGACTATGGGCATGTGCCACTATGCCTGGTTAACTTTTTAATTTTTGTAGAGACGGTGTCTGGCTATGTTGTCCAGGCTGGTCTCAAACTCCTAGTCTCAAGCAATCCTCCTGCTTCGGCTTCCCAAAGTGCCAGAATTACAGACATGAGCCACTGCATCTGGCCCAAATTAAATACTTTAATAGACCCATATACTGTTAGTGATTCTGAAAATGAACTGAACAAGTCAGAGGTCTCTGGAAGGTATGTGAATTTTGTACGTCATTACTAATAATACATTCCTCTTACCTTTTCAAACTTCAATTTCACTGGTTTAGGATTGGTAGCAGTTACAGCTTCGGCAATTTCCTGACCAATCTTAAAAGACTGCTCCTTAGTGGCTCCTTTCAGTAGCACAAACATACTAAGGGGATTAAAAATAAAGTAAGGTAATGAAGAAGTCAGTGTAACAAAAATTTTATCAAGAGTAACTTTCCTGGCTATGACTCTGTCTATTGCCAAGTAAAACTCTCCCTTTCTCCTATTTACTTTTTTTAAGATGTTTCCTATGTAAGCTTTCCTGTTTTATTACATTCCTTGTGTACTCATGATATGTCTCATTACACATATTTTAAGACATCCAATATTTCTAACTTAGCTACACAGATCAGCTCAGATATCCCAGGTTGCTAAGAAAGTCCTGGATCATCCCTGGACATTTAAGGCTTTGTATGGTACACCAGGGGTCCCTAATCCCTAGGCCACAGATTAATACAAGTCAGTCTGTGATCAGTAGCAGATCAGTTAGACCAATGGCAGCATTAGAGTCTCATTGGAGCATAAACCCTATTGTGAACTGCGCACAAGTGAAGGTTGTATATACCTTACGAGAATCTAATGCCTGATGATCTGAGGTGGAATAGTTTCATCCCGAAACCACCTGGTCTGTGGAAAAACTGTCTTCCATGCAACCGATCCCTGGTGCTAAAAAGGTTGGGGACTGCTGTGGTCCAGGCACGATGGCTCACGTCTGTAATCCTGGCACTTTGGGAGGCTGAGGTGGTAGATTATCTGAGGTCAGGAGTTCAAGACCAGCCTGACCAACATGGTGAAACCCTGTCTCTACTAAAAATACAAAGATTAACCAAGCGCGGTGACGTGTGCCTATAATCCCAGCAACTTGGGAGGCTGAGGCAGGAAAATCGCTTGAGCCTGGGAGGCAGAGATTGCAGTGAACTGAGACTGCACTATTGCACTACAGCCTGGGCGACAGAGCGAGACTCCATCTCAAAAAAAAAAGTTGGGGATCACTGTGGTACATTAAATACATCACAAAATAAGAAACGATGTGATTACAAGGAAATGAAAGATGTACTTGTGACATGGGAGAAGTTTCCTTAAGGCCAGAACCACTCAACTTTAAAAAGACAGAGATCGGCCAGGCATGGTAGGTCACACCTATAATCCAGCACTTTGGGAGGCCAAGGAGGGTGGATCACCTGAGGTCAGGATTTCGAGACCATTCTCACTAACAGGGTGAAACCCCATCTTTACGAAAAAATTACAAAAATTAGCCAGGCATTGTAGCGCTTGCTTGTAGTCCCAGCTACTTGGGAGGCTGAGGCAGGAGAATCGTTTGAACCTGGGAGGTGGAGGTGGCAGTAAGCCAAGATTGCACCATTGCACTCCAGCCTGGGTGACAGAGTGAGACTCCGTCTCAACAACAACAACAAAAAAAGACATATATTCTGTAATGTATGTTCACTGAAGAATAGTTAGAAAACAGAAAATGACACAAAGAAAATCAACATCTGTATATCATTTAGAAAAAAGACATTACAAACATTTGTGTATATCTGTAAATCTTTTCATTTGCTATAATGGATCATATTATTTGGTAATGAATAATACTGAATTATAAGAATAAAAAATACTAATACAAAATATACTAAAAAATAACTGATAAAATGCATTAGGCATGTTTTTATTCTATCTCAGTATATACTACAACCTGACCACCAGCAGAAGTAATGGTTAATAAATATAATATTTAAGTAAGATGGATTATAAAGTTCATCTTCACTTGTACTTTTAGTGAAAAGACATTAAATGCTTTGGAAAAAGTCCCTGCTAATACTGGAGACAGCTCTTGTCTAAGAGCTTAATATGAAAAATTAAAAGAAAGGAAAAAAGCAGTCTATTCAACTCTACTTCAGGTCTCTAAAATGAAGCCACCGTGCCCGGCTCTACTTACTTTAAAATTTATGTGATACCTGGTATCTTCTAATTGATGGAGCTACTGTGGATCTGATTCTGTTGTATTATTTCTGTTATTCTTTTGTTCATACCGTCTCTCACGTATCTGTTTATTTTCTCAATATTGTCTCAATATGAATTAATTTCAACATTCACTAAGGCAGAACAAAAATGCCTTAGTTAATTAGGCCTTCAATTTAGGCTATACTTTGAACCATCTGAAGGTTTTTGGGGTTTGTTTATAGACCATCTGATGCTCACTTATACGAAATGCTACCTTATTTTAAAAATATTTTTTTTAAGAGACAGGATCTCACTCTGTTACTGAGGTTGGATTGCAGTGGCATAATTATGGCTTACTGCAGCCTCAACCTCCTTGTACTCCTTAACAATAATTCTTCAGTCTATTCCTGGCCCCAGGTTCAATACATAAGACTTGCTTTCTGTTACTATGGGGTTTTTTTTCCCAATAATTGTATATAAATGGGCTGGGTACAGTAGCTTTTGCCTGTAATACTAGCAACTCTGGAGGCTGAAGTGGGAGAACTGCCTGAGGCCAGGAGTTTGAGATGGGCCTGGGCAATATAGTGAGACCCTATCTCTAAATAAATAAATAAAAATTTTATAAAATGAAACTATATAGTATGTACTATTTTATATCTGTGTTCTTTCACTCGGCATATTTTGAGATTCATCCATGGTGTTAGAATAACAGCAACTGTTTTTTTTTTTTTTTCTATTATTGAGTAGTACTCCACTATATGGATATACCACAATTTGCTTATCCAAATCAATCAGTAATAGACATTTAGATATTTTGCAGTTTTGAACTATTACAAAACAAAGCCCCAATGAAGATCATACACAAGTTTTTGTGTGGACATAGGTTTTCATTTTCTTAGATAAGCATCAAGGAGTGGAACTGCTGGATGCTAAGGGTATGTTGAACTTCATGTGCAACTGCCAAACTGTTTTTATGAAAGATTATTATTAAAATGTTCAGATGCAATGATGAATGCAACATTTTAAAATCGGTGGACATACACACATTTCTATACAGTTTTATTATAGGCAAAACTAAGCTATGATAATAAAAATTAGATACGTGGTTGTGTAGGGTATGGAGTAAGGATAATGGAGTCATTGCAAAGGGGTAGGGAGATAACTTTTTAGGGTGATAAAAAGTGTTCTATATCTTGACTGGCATAGTCGTTGGTAACTTGGGCCTATACATTTTTATATTTTCTTACATATTATACATTCTGCTAAGAATTATAATTCCATAATAAAGATAAAGAAATTAAGGTACATATACTTTACATCTTAAAAGTTATTATTGGCCAGGTGCAGTGGCTCAAGCCTGTAATCCCAGCACTTTGGGAGGCCGAGGTGGGCAGATCACAAGGTCAGGAGTTCAAGACCAGCCTAGCCAACACAGTGAAACCCTGTCTCTACTAAAAATACAAAAATTAGCTGGGCATGGTGGCGCATGCCTATAGTTCCAGCTATTCAGGATGCTGAGGCAGGAGAATCGCTTGAACCTGGGAGGTGGAGGTTGCAGTGAGCTGAGATCATGCCACTGAACTCCAGCCTGGGCAACAGAGCGAGACTGTCTCAAAAAAAAAAAAAAAAAAAAGTTATTATTATAGGGTCTATATTTGAGATTTGAGATTTTACCCAGTAATGTGAGTTTGTTTGAATCTGTCTAAGCTGTTTTGGCCAATTTGATTTGGAGCTAAACTTCAAGAAAGCTGGACAGAATTAGCAGAAGTTTTTTGTCATGTGACAGAATGGAAGTGACTAGCCTACAATACGAAAGACTGTTTTAAAATGAGTTTCTAGGCTGCCAGGGGCTAGGAAGGGTAGTGTGTATGTGTGGGGATGGTTAATAGGTACAAAAATACAGTTAGAATGAATAAGACCTAGTATTTGATAGCACAACAGAGCGATTACAGTCAACAATAATTTATAGTACATTTAAAAATAACTAAAAGTATAACTGGAATGTCATCATAATTGGAAGGTCATTTACCTTTGTCTATTAGATTTCCTTCATTTTGATGATGAGGCAACTAAGCCTCAGAGACGTTAAATGACTTATTAGTGGCCATGCCATCATCTAGGAGTATAGCTAGAAAGAGAATCCAGGTCTCTTCACTCTCGGTTGGGAACTCTTTTTCACTCCACCAAGCAATACCTAATATCCCAAGAGCAGTGTTTCTCAACCTTTTATCATTACTGTCCTTCCAAGGGAAAAAAATTAAATTTATATTTAATAAGAGAAAGTAATTACTAAGGAGTAAAATATTGTTGGGTAGGAATGGGCGCCGTGGGGCCAAAGACTATGGTACTGACTTTTTTTTGGTTCCCCTTCAAGAACTTATTTGTATTCTGCCAGGGTGATACTACTGTGAATTGCCCTCATACAGATGTCACTAAACATTTGGGTTTTTTTGTTTTTGAGATGGTCTTATTCTGTCATCCAGGCTGTAGTACAGTGGCATGATCATGGCTCACTACAGCCTTGAACTCTGGGGTTCAAGCGATCCTTCCACCTCACAGCCACCCAAGTAGCTAGGAGTACAAGTGTGCACCACTATGTCTGGCTAATTTTTTAATTTTTTATAGAGACAGGGTTGCACTTTGTTGCCCAACCTGGTCTTGAACTTCTGGGCTCAGGCAATCCACCTGTCTTGGCCTCTCGAAATGCTAGGATTACAAGCATGAGCCACTGTGCCTGGCCAATATTTGTTGAATGCCATCAGGTAGTGAATGGTGATCAAAAGTTTTAATGACACTGCAAGTAAATTTTGTTTGACTGGAATCATATAATAACTATAGAATCTGATGGAGAAAGAAAGCTAGGAATCAAAACACTGAATGTCAATTTATGGCTCTTTACTGACTAGTTGCAAGATCTTAAATTTCTTATCCTAGGGAAATTTGTTCTTAATAAGTATCACTTAAGGCACATTCTAAGCTCTCCCAATAATATGAAAACTGCTGGCCTAAATATCAAAATCCCTTCCAGCTCTGACATTCTGTGAGTCTATAATTTTTGTAGCTTGACTTTTTAAAGATCTTAAAGGGTAAATAATACAACTACAATCAGAATCATGCTGACTTCTGAGTGTTGTGTTTTTACCAAAAACAAACAACTGACATGGATAGCCCCTGAATTAAAATAAAAAATTTAAAGGATTAATTTTTTCCCTAAATAAGAGAATATGGATAATTAGGGTCTCGATAATTTGAAACTATCCCCACTTGCTGGTAATGAAACAGCTGCTATATGAAGCAAGGTCTCATTCAGTATTAATATGATTATGCTGACTGTATGAACATTTTAAAGAACTGGAGAAGACTAAATGCAGTTCAAAGATTACTTATAAGCTATTTAATGATTAGAAGCATTATCTCCTATTGCTCTGTTGGACTATAAAGAGATCAGAGGTTTTGAGGCAAGTGCTCTTAGCATGATCACATTGTGACTCTAAGTCTCCAATACGGGAAAAATTTCACTGTAAGAAATTTGCATAATGCCTACATTTTAGAATAATTTCAATAAGCCATACAAATAAGATGTTACATAAATAACTGAAACCTGAAAAATATCACAGCAAGCAAGGAAACATGCAAGCTGGTGTTAATAACTTACATTATTAATAATGTGCCTTCAAATGCAGGCACGTCATTTGCCAATCCATTAATAATGGGCTTGAGGAAGTCTGTGAACCCTCTGGAATCAAATGGAAAACTGTATTTGCCTATATGCACTTCTCTTAGAAGGTCAACATATTTTGGGGCCTAGTGGTAAGGTAACCATTCACAGGTCTTGCAACTGTCCTTCAAAAACAGTTAATTATTTTAATATATACACTTAAATTCTGAGAGTTGCAGCTACATTAGAGGCATTATTCACACTAAAAGTAGTTTCTTTAAATAAACTAGACTCCTGTGTACACAGTTTATAGATCACTATCTACTTGGCCAAGAGCAACCTAGAGGGAAGCCATAGCAATCTTCAGTTTGTGGCTTAGGACAAAAACTGTCTCTTAAAATCATATCTGCTAAATCAGGATCTGTGTTAACTCTGATCATGAGATCATAAGGACTGGAAAGGACTCAGGTAGAACTCTGATTTTTGGAAAGGATTCCCTTAAGCCATTTTAAACACTGAAATGAAGATTTGGAGAGATGCAAAAAGACAACTACAAAACCAAACATCCATTACCTGTCAGTATCACCATACACAACCCTAGCACCCCATTTCTTGGTATCATTCACCAGTTTAATAGCTCGTTCCAAGGTCTCTCTGGCTTTGTGAACAATACTATCGCCAACCTGTTGGTAGAAACACATTGGAAATAATTTATTAACATAGCTCAGTGTAAGTCAACACACTTTAACGTATAATAACATTTAATTATTACATATTTCTAAAAATGAAACAAGGAGAAAAGAATATAAAAAAGAAATCAAAATAGCCATCAGTGTCATCATTCTTTCTACAAGTATTCAAAAAGAAACTGAGGTAAAAAATTTGAAAGAACCAATCAATATACAGACTTGTCTTTGAGTGTTGTATCAGTAAGTGGACTGCACTTGTTACAAGGTACACAGCTACATTTGATTCTTGGAAGAATAATCCTTGTTTATTCAAGAGCTTTTTTTTTTTTTGAGATGGAGTCTTATTCTGTCACCCAGGTTGGAGGGCAGTGGTGCTATCTCCACTCATTCTAACCTCTGCCTCCTGGGTTCAAGCGATTCTCCTGCCTCAGCCTTCTGAGTACCTGGGACTACAGGTGCATGCCATGACACCTAGCTAATTTTTGTATTTTTTAGTAGAGACAGGGTTTCACCATGTTGGCCAGGCTGGTTTCAAACTCCTAAACTTGTGATCCACCTGAATCAGCCTCCCAAAGTGCTAGGATTATAGGCATGAGCCACCACACCCAGCCTATTCAAAAACTTTCTTATGTGCCCTTATAACACATTAGGCAGAAAATCACTCTTTGTAGGTGCACAAGTATATGTACGTGCATCTCTCAAAATTTTTCTGTTTAAGTGTTGATGATAATGTCTTTTTCTTTTTATTTTTTAGGAATTATACTTTATTTATTTTTTTGAGATGGAGTTTCGCTTTAGTTGCCCAGGCTGGAGTGCAATGGTGCAATCTCAGCTTCCTGCAACCTCTGCCTCCCTGGTTTAAATGATTCTCCTGCCTCATCCTCCTGAGCAGCTGGGATTACAGGCACATGCCACCACACAACAGCTAATTTTTGTATTTTTAGTAGAGATGGGGTTTCACCACGTTGACCAGGCTGGTCTTGAACTCTTGACCTTGTGATCTGCCCACCTCGGCCTCCCGAAGTGCTGGGATTACAGGCGTTAGCCACTGCGCCCAGCCGATAATGTCTTTTAATATCATTAAAATTAATGCTGAACTTCAATCTGCGACTAGCTATACAAGGAAAAATGTATCTAATAATATGGAAAATATATCAAAAGTGTTCAATTTAAATCAATTAGGTATTATATATCTAAGAAGGGTTTTTTCATTAGCATTTAGTGAGTTTTAACAGTGACCATGGCATGAGTTTACAAAACAAAAAGATGCTGGGCCCTGACAAATATGAGAAGCATGCTAATTAGATTTTACAAGTAAATTAAAGAGACTATATAACATTGCTGTTTCATTTATTAAACTCATTAAACCTAAGAGTGGGAAAGACTGCCATTCAACATAAATGGAGCATTCCTTTTGCAATTTTAAAATGCAAACTGCGCATTTTGTTTTTTGTGTGTTAAGAAGCAACCAATAGCAATAATGATACTTCTCCCTTTACTGTAAGATTTAAATTACTAAGGCCAGGTGCAGTGGCTCATTCCTGTAATCCCAGCACTTTGGGAGGCCGGGGAGGGCAAATCACCTGAGGTCAGGAGTTTGAGACCAGCCTGACTAACATGGTGAAACCCCATCTCTACTAAAAACACAAAAATTAGCTGAGCCTAGTGGCGGGTGCCTGTAATCCCAGCTCCTTGGGAAGCTGAGGCATGAGAATTGCTTGAATCCAGGAGGCGGAGGATGCAGTGAGCCGAGATCACACCACTGCACTCCAGCCTGGGAAACAAAGCAAGATTCCGTCTCAAAAAAAAAAATTTTTTTTTATTTACTAAATGTAGGATTGAATACTATTTAAAAGGCTGTTTAAAGTTGCATTGCAAAGGACATATTAAATATATGAACAAAGGAAAAAATAATAAAACTGGCAGTAGAAACGAGTTGGGATTTATTTATTTTGAGACAGTCTTGTTCTGTCACCGAGACTAGAGTGCAGTGGTGCAATCTTGGCTCACTGCAACCTCTGCTTCCTGGGTTCAAACAATTCTTGTTTGTGCCTCTTCCTCCTGAGGAGCTGGGATTACTGGCGTGTGCCACCATGCCTGGATATTTTTTGTATTTTTAGTAGAGATGGGGTTTCACCATGATGGCAGGCTAGTCTTGAACTCCTAGCCTCAAGTGATCCACCCACCTCAACCTCTCAAAGCATTGGAATTGCAGGCATGAGCCACCATGCCTGGCCTTGGGTTTTAAACTGAGATCATGAATTCTGCTGAGACCACTGAAAATCTTGAGAATGTAAACTATAACTTAACACATTACAAAAATCATGTTATCTAATTGAAACTCAAATTGAATAAAATGTTCTTTACATGCTGCCACTTTCAAACAAGGTCAACTTTGTCAGGACAAAGAGCCGGATGGGCAAGCCATCCTAAGTCAAATATACTTCTGAGATACATACTTACAAGTACATACTTGTACATATACATACTGGTCTTAAATGTCTGTCTGCCTGATGCTCTTACTCTGACCCATTTAAGTTATACCTGAAAGAGTCAGAACTCTGCAGTTACCCCTGAAGACCATGTAACAGGAAGAATTCAGCTGCACTAGGGTGAGGGGGAGGCAGAAGAGGGGAGGAGCAGTAATTAACTTATTCTGCTACTTTGTGCCAAAGTTCCTAATTTGAAAAGCATTTCTTCATTAAAGGGCTAAGAGAGGATTTAAAAAGAGGAAAAGAAATGGTTTCACAATTTAGGCAATGACAGAGGATGCTCAAAAGTCACAATAAAAACAATTTTTTAAGTAAAAATTAATTCCCTGAAAAGACATAAAAAGGAAGAAATAAAGTTCAGCCAATTTAAAAAAGTCACATATATATACCTTTATCATAAATGATCAATAGTTTAGCAGGAAACTGTCAACATATAAAAATTTTAATTTATGAAACTAAGTCAGTGACAATGTCCAACTGGGACAGACATTAACCTCCACTAATAGCTACCATATTTATTCTCTATTTCTCTTAGGAATTTTTGCTTACAAAGTCTTGTCTTTCTCTATGATGGTACTGAGACAGAGACATTAACCTCCAACTATTAGCTACATTTATTTATTCTCCATATTCTCCTTAGACCATCCTGGCTAAGCATGGTAAAACCCCATCTCTACTAAAAATACAAAAAATTAGCCAGGCATAGTGGTACGCGCCTATAGTCCCAGCTACTTGGGAGGCTGAGGCAGGAGAATCGCTTGAACCCGGGAGGTGGAGGTTGCAGTGAGCTGAGATTGCACCACACATTCCAGCCTGGGTGACAGAGCAAGATTCTCAAAAAAAAAAAAAGAAAAGAAAAGAAAGAAATTCCATCTATCTGATATAAGCAGGGAAAAAGTGCACCAAAAAAGATAATTTGCCAAGGAACCAAAGCTTGTGACTTTGAGCACCAGAACCGAGCCAATTCTACATCCTCACCATTACCACCTGGGCCACCACCCCTTACCTGCAGAGCTGTAAAAGCTCCCAACAGCTCTCCTCCACCCATGCATTCCTTGGGAGGCCAGAGAGGATTTGAGTCAGATCACGTCACTCCCTTTGTTAACACTGTCCAATGGTGCTCCAGTTCTCTCAGTGTAAAATCTGGCAGACCAGGTATAAAGCCAAAGCTCTGCCATGCCCTACTATGGTATCCTAGCCCCTGGGCATGCCAGTGGTGGACCTGCTGCTTCTCGACTTACGCAGCCAAAAATCCCCACAGCTCAGTGGCTGGATTTGTCTCCAAGAATCCCACTCTGGCCTTGATAGATTTCTGCTCACTATTCTAGACTGCAATGGCCCATGGGAGACCCACACACCTGCTCCCATCTCCATGAGTTTATTCCCAATGAGGATTCCTCCAGCAGTTTGCAGGTGGGTAAAAATGGGGCCCACGTGCTTTTATATAGAGCAGTGCTTATTTTCTGTGGAGAAGCTCAACATCCTCAAATGTTCTTGACTACTTCTTACTGCAGGTTCCCAGAAGTATGAGATCATAGGTTGAAACACGCTTTTGATAAGAGGCTCTGTATGAACTTAGCAATTATGGACTTGGCCAGAACTGGAGACTGCTGAGCACCCTATGGAAGTGTTGATGTTCTGAGAAGACACATTTGCTTTCCATTAAACCTCCTCTGCTAAGGAACATTGCCTGAACCTTTGTCCTTAATAGTTTATAATCAGATTAATTATGAATTAGGTGCTTCCTTGTATCCTCAATAAATATGCTGTGGAACAAACAGTTGGGATCAGTCCTCAGTGGGACTGTCCACTGCTTCGCTGTTTCTCTGTGTCTTGTTTTTCTTTACCCAGGGACTGTGGGCTGCTACAGTTGGTGCCCAAACAGGGACCCTCCCTCCGTGGCCCTCCCGCAGATATCCTCTCCAGGCCTGGCACAGGAAATCGGACATCCATTTCGCCAGGTACCATAGCTTTGAAAGCCTGCGGCAGGGGTATCCTTTGTTTTTTCAAGGGCATGGGTCATTCTTTCTCAGCTGTGCAAACCGCTCACAAGCGAGACCTCACTCTTTTGCTACACAAAACAGGATGTCAGGTTTCTGATGCTGAATTATCTTTCCTTTTAAAAGTAATTTACAATCAGTGCCCATGGTACCCTGGGGGAAGGGTCCACAGAGTCTTGAGACTGGGAGTGAATAGGAACACAGCTGCAAAAAGAGACAGAGTTTGTAACTGTAGCATAGTTGCATACCTGGCATCTTTGCCGAGTGGCAGTAGGATCCTTAGCGGAAAGAGAAACACCCTGGGCAGATTTAATACCAAAAATGCTCCCCATAGAAAAGAAGCAGTCCCTGCTGTACAGTGAAACTGCTCCAGGTGAGGAAGGGCAAGAACCACGCTGGGTTATTGAAAATCTCATAAAGGAAGCACAAAAGGAAGAAGGTATTGTAGCATTTTCAGTTATAATAGCCACTAACCAACCCCCACCCCCAGCAGGAGCAACTGCCTTTTATGGTTTTTAAGGAGTTTAAAAGGAGTATTAAAGAAAACGGAGTTTCCAGTTCCTTTACAAAAGGCATAATAGAGGGTACAGGAGGAGGGTGTGAGATGACCCCTTGGGACTGGAAAACATTGATAAAGACGGTGTTCCCAGCCCAATATTCCGTTTGGTTGCATGAGTATTATAACCAATGTGCTATGTTTGCCATGGAAAATTTAAATCATAATATCCCTATTTCGGCTGATATGCTTAAGGGGGAAGGTGATTACCTGAGCCCTGCACAACAAGCTGCTTTAGACCGGTGGGCGTTTTCTCAAATTGCCCAAGCTGTTCTACACACCTGGAATAAAATCCCTGAAGTAGGTGCCCCGCAGGGGTCCTTCTCCACAATTCATCAGGGAGCCACAGAGCCTTACATGAGTTTTACAGAAAGATTACAAGGAGCCTTAGAGAAGCAAGTTAATAATTTTGATGCATGCAATATGTTGCTAATGCAATTGGCCTATAAAAATGCTAATGAAAATTGCAAAAATGCCTTGTTACCAGTTAAAAATACCCCTAGGAGTGAGTCTTGCTGAATGTATATGGGCTTGTCAGAACATAGACACAAAAATCCAGAAGGCCCACTTGCTGGCCGTGGCCCTATGCCCTTCTGTTCAGTGCTTTCCATGTGGTAAAGTGGGACATATGCAAAAGGAATGCAGATCAGAGGTTAAACGCCCAACCCGTAAATGTCCTAAATGTCAAAAGGGTTATCATTGGGCTAATCAATGTCCATCCAAAGAAAGCAAGGACCAGGAAAACTTGAGGAGGGGCTCGTCCCCGGACCGGAACACCAAACAGGGACCCTCAACTATGGCCCATACTTGGCCAGTCCTGGAGCCCCAAGGAATCTCCAAAGTAACAGAAACCTTGTCTCCTGGCAAACCATTTCACAGTTAACTTCAGCAACAGTCGGTCGTGCAGGCCTTGACCTAATTCTAGCTAAAGAATGTGTAATTGAGATACCAGGAGAAGTACATGTAATTCCTACTCTTACCAAAAGTCCACTGCCCCCTGGGTATTGTGTCCTGTTATTAGGGAAATCCCACATGGTAAAAATGGGACTTACGGTTGTCCCAGGATTAATTAACTCTGATTATACCGGAATAATAAGAGTTCAGGCATGGGCTCATCATTACCTAAAATTAGAAAAGGGAATGTCCATTGCACAGCTAGTTTTAATATCTTATTGGGTTCCCAAAGCAATGGGGGCTAAAGGAAAAGACAAAGGGTTTGGTCCTACGACTGTCAACTGGATTGTAAACCTGGGAGAAAATCAACTAATAGTGCTGAGAAACATGAAGTTTACCCTGCCCTCATGGCTCCTTTGTGGAGAATACCTTTTAGTTTGTAGTTAGTGGTAGGTGGGTAACAGCTGCCTACTTGGTATATTCTTGCATTATGAGTAAATATGGAACACCTGTGTATTAATAAGACTACCTGTCTAAGAGCAAATAAATACACGGATGAGAATCTGCTCGGGACCTTCAGCCTGGAACGCTGTTAGCCTCTCAGCTCTCAGGCTGTTGGTCCCACAGGTAGATCCACTCTGTTGTTCTATTTGGTTGTCTGCCTCTCAATACCATCAGCACCACCTGGGTGGGGGTCTCCCAGCTGAGCTGGTTACTAATGTACAATAGTGACATTATCTGTAAATAATGTACAATTTTCTGGACTCAGACACAGGAGCTGATGTAACTATAATCACCCTATCCCATTAGCCTCCGGCGTGGCCCTTATACCTGGTACAGAATAGACTGCTGGGGATTGGAGGTACCCAGCAGGCCTATCGGAGCAGCAAGTCCCTATGCTTTGTTGATACAGATAATAATAAAGGATAGATAATGCTTTTTGTTATGGATATTCCTCTAAGCATTCGGGGACGGGATTTGCTAGCTCAATTTAATATATCTGTTCAAACAAATTTATCCTAAGGGCCACTGCTCCTATTAAACCCATTAAGCTTAGTTGGAAAGAAGGCCCTCCTGTATGAGTGGCGCAGTGGCCCCTTCCTTGGCACAAAATTTAAATTATCCAACAGTTGGTACAAAAACAATTGAGGCAGGTCACATAGAAATATCCAACAGCCCTTGGAATTCCCCTAGCTTTACTATCCCCCCAAAACCTGATAAGTGGCAGTGGTTGCATCATTTGAGAGCTATAAATGCACAATTAAATCCTACAGGCCACCTACAATTAGGTGTCCCAAATCCAAGTTTAATTCCCCGCACCTATTCTTTAGTTGTTATTAAAGAACTTTTTTTTTTTTTTAACATTCCTCTATATCCAAAAGACAGACCACACTTTGCCTTTTCTGTTCCTGAATACAGTAACTCTCAGCCTACTCAACGCTATCATTGGATCGTGTTCCTCAAGGTCTAATGAATTCTCCCACTCTTTGTCAATATTACATTAGTGTGGCTTTAAAACCTTTTCAACAGTTATAACCTCACCTTCTATTATGTCATCACAAGTTTAATATTTTGTTAGCTGAACCTAATTAAGACCTCCCAATTCAAGAATTACAACAGGTCCTTATAAGGGCAGGACTTCATACAGCCCCAGAAAAGGTTCAATACAAAGAACCTTATTCTTACTTGGGGTTTCAATTCATGGGCATCACAGTTCACCCAACCTTGCCATCCCTGGGTATTCCATCTCCATTGACATCATCTCAGCTCCAGCACGTATCGGGACATATCAATTGGTTACGGGCCTCTTTGGGTATTCCTACCTATTTGTTCAAACATTTCTATTGCTGGCAGGAACCTCCTCCCCTGTCTCCATACACGTCCTTAACGAACAACATCAGAAATTATCGCAACTGGCTAATGAAAAGTTCTTTTAGCATTTCCTGGATCATTCCTTACACCTCTTTATTTTGTTAACACCTTTAAGCCTTACAGCACTATTGGGTCAAATAACCAACAAGAACCAACTATTGATTGTTACAGGCTCCACTTGCCATCACAGCCTAAGCACCCTATTCCCACTCCACTTGCCTCCATTATTTCAATTTCTCTTGGCTGTCATTAAGCTTTGTAGTTACAAGGCTGTTATGTCATAAAAATCCATTTACCTTTTCCAATGGAACAAATGACACCAGTTTATACTCATAATTTATCCTTTCAAATAGCAGCATCTGATTACATAAAACACTTGACTTCCCATTTTCCTTCAGACTTTGATCTCCAAGCCTCAAAACTCTTACCCTGAAAGCAACAAACTATAATCAGCTTGCATCCTATTCCAAACGCTCTCACTGTTTTTACTAATAGAAAGCCACATCAGGAAGTCATGGTTTGGTGTGCAAATAACAAATGGAATAAATGCTTTTCTCCGTAAACATCCTCAACTCAAAAAGCAGAAGTTGGAGCTCTGATATTAGCTCTTCAAAAATTCCCCCATTGTGTGCTTAATATTATCCCTAATTCCTCATACGTTGCCAATCTTGTTCCCCTATTGCCTCAGGCCACTATAAGGGACAATATTTCAACTCATCTGCTGCCCTTATTTCTAGCTGTTCAAATATTGCTGTCCCGTCACAGTAAAACCGTCTTCCTAATGCATATTCGCAGCTACTCCCATCTTCCAGGGCCCTTGGCAACTGCGAACAAAATTGCAAACACTAGTGTGCGGCTGATTAATTCTTTATTTACCAATCCTTTTTCTTCTCATCAATTCTTCCATCAGAATGCCCATCCACTAATAAAATATTTTTCTATTTCTAAGCAGCAAGCTCAGCAACTTGTCTATTCTTGCCCTACTTGTCAGGCGTTAACATTTTCTAGTGCTGCCATAGGCACGAATCCCAGAGGCCCTGCTCCAGATGAGCTAAGGCAAATGGATGTTACTCAGATTCCCAATCTTAAACCTCTCCCAGATGTTCATGTTTCTATTAATACATTTTCCAACGCTACCTGGGCTTCTCCTCAAAAAGGCGAGCGTGGGGCCGGGCGCGGTGGCTCACGCCTGTAATCCCAGCACTTTGGGAGGCCGAGGAGGGTGGATCATGAGGTCAAGAGATCGAGATCATCCTGGTCAACATGGTGAAACCCCGTCTCTACTAAAAATACAAAAAAATCAGCTGGGCATGGTGGCGCGTGCCTGTAATCTCAGCTACTCAGGAGGCTGAGGCAGGAGAACTGCCTGAACCGGGAGGCAGAGGTTGCGGTGGGCCGAGATTGTGCCACTGCACTCCAGCCTGGGTAACAAGAGCAAAACTCCATCTCAAAAAAAAAAAAAAAAAAAAAAAAAAAAAAAAAAAAAAAAAAAAAAAAAAGATGAGTGTGTTAATCACATTCATAATCATCTTTTTCAGGCTTTTGCTGCTTTGGGTTATCTTCAGCTGCTTAAGACGAACAATGAACCTGCCTATGCTTCTCAAACATTTGCTGCTTTTTGCATTCGCTGGGATATCAAGCATACGTTCGGCATTCCCTATAATCCTACTGGACAAGCCAATGTAGAACAAGCTCATCACCTGTTAAAGCTAGTTCTGAAAAAACAAAAGGGGGAGTTGCCTCCCTTGACAAAGCCGTGAGTTAGGATTAATATCGCTTTGTTGACTATTAACCATTTACTTTTTAAAATGCTGGCAGTAATCTCACATGCGGTCACTTATTTTTCTAACCCACAAGAATCAGATAAACCATTAATATTGTATCAACAGCCACCGGATCCCATGTGGAAGGGGCCAGTGCCCCTTATCACATGCAGAGGAGGCTATGCTGCTGTGCTTCTCCTACAGGTCCTCTGTGAGTTCCTGCTTGATGCGTTAAACCATACCATGAGTTGGCATCAAGGACTGAAAAACCTGATCCCAAAGTTCTGATTGATGACGACCGAGGAGCCAGAGAGAAAGGCACCTACTGTTCCCCAGAGAAGGGGAAGGAGATCATAAGTTGCCTACTTGGGAGAACATGAAAATCCTCTGGTCACACTGAAACGGCTATTCGTAATGCAGGACAGGAACTTACACCAGAAAATTTATTACTGGCTGTGATGGCAACACTCACAGCTTCTTCGATCAAAGTAGGGGTCTTAATGGCAATACTGTTATGTTTGGTCTCTGCTAACACCTATGTCCAATGGACCCAGATCACAGTGCAGGTTGCTAACCAATCCAACTGCTGGATGCGTGCCTGGTTTCCTGTTTCTAGTGGTGCAGGGTGTCCATGGAGTATGCACCCTGAAGCTCCGTCCCAGTGGGAACATCTAAAGTGGTGGCAGAATAGAAAAAACCATATCCTGTAATGAGATTTGGCGGCAGTTTAAAAGATAATTTATAGAAAAGGACTGGGGACATTTTTTACAGTGGAAAAAAGGTCACAACATTCCTGGTTCCTTATTTTCTTTATATTTAAAGTGGCGTCACACCAAACTGCCCCCTAAACCTTCCTTCGGGTATTCTGTGTGGGACGGAGCTCTCTGGTATACCACGGAAAAAGTAGTGTCGCCCCAAAGGATTCCGAGTTGCATTTCTCAAAAAGAAGAAATTCCAGTAGGTAGTTCACCTACGGAATTGTGTCAGACCATAAGTGTACCAAATTCAAGCACTAAATGGGGATGTGAGACGCTGACCAGTCGATCAGGACAAAACAATTCTTATGGAGTATATGCTGTCTCTCCTGGTAATTTATGGTTCTGTGAAAGTCATGGCTGGTTATGCCTCCCATTAAATTGGTCCAATATCTGCTGCTGGGGAAAGCCACACATTCCGGCCCGAATCCTTGAACATCTTCCTCAATTACCAAATCACTGGGAAATGGCAGAACATAAATATCTGACTAGACACCGCCATGCCTCCTGGTGGCACTATTTAACAACTGTATTTTCGCCACAAGCCGGGGCAATCTCAACTGAACAATCCGTAGAGGCCCTCGCCAAGCACCCAGCTGCTGCCTTTAATGCAACTCAAGCAGGAATTACGTTGCTGAATAAAGAAGTAAGCCAGATTCAAAGAATTGTGCTACAAAATAAAATGGCTCTAGACATGCTCACAGCAGCCCAAAGCGGGAGGGTGTGCTATCATGATAACTGAGTGCTGCACCTTATCCCTGATTAGGTGTGTCTGTGTCTGTGGCTTTAAAAACCATCCAAAAAGAAGTTTCTAGCATCCAAACAATTCAGGTGGATCCCATCCAACAATGGTTTCGTACTTTGGGGTGAAATTTTTCTAAATGGGTCAATATCATTATAATTTGTATACTTGGATTCTTGTTAATCTTACCTTGCTGTTTTCTATTTTCCTGTTGCCATCTATAGGAGGAAGAAGACAATCTTCCCTATTAAAAACAAAAGGGGAGGCCAGGCACGGTGGCTCACACCTGTAATCCCAGCACTTTGGGAGGCCGAGGCGGGCAGATCACCAGGTCAAGAGATAGAGACCATCCAGGCCAACATGGTGAAACCCCATCTCTACTAAATATACAAAAATTAGTTGGGCGTGGTGACACGAGCCTGTAATCCCAGCTATTTGAGAGGCTGAGGCAGGAGAATCACTTGAACCCAGGAGGCAGAGGTTGCAGTGAGCTAAGGCTGCCCCATTGCACTCTAGCCTAGCGACAGAGTGAGACTCTAGCTCAAAAAAAAGGGTGGGGGTGGGGAGGGAATTGTGGAGAATTTCAGCATCCTCAAATGTTCCTGATTACTCCTTACTGCAAGTTCCCAGAAGCAGGAGATCATACATTGAGACATACTCACCCTATTGATAAGAGGTTGTGGATGAACTTAGCAATTATGCACTTGGCCAGAACTCGAGAATGCTGAGTACCCTATGAAAGTGCTGATGTTCCAAGAAGATACATTTGCTTTCCAATAAACCTCCTCTGCTAGGCCTGATGCAGGTGGCTCACGCCTGTATTCCCAGCACTTTGGGAGGCCAAGGCAGGCAGATCACAAGATCAGGAGTTTGAGACCATCCTGGCCAACATGGTGAAACCTCGTCTCTACTAAAAATACAAAACAATAGCTGGGTGTGGTGGCACTCACCTGTAATCCCAGCTACTTCGGGGGCTGAGGCAGAAGAATCACTTGAATCCAGGAGGTGGAGGTTGTGGTGAGCCAAGATCGCCTCACTGCACTCCAACCTGGGCAACAGAGCGAGACTCCATCTCAAAAAAAAAACAAAAAAAACAAAAAACAAAAAAAACCCTCCTCTGTTCAAGAACATTTCCTGAAACTTTGTCCTTAATAGTTTATAATCAGATTAATTATGAATTAGGCTCTTCCTTGTATCCTCAGTAAACATGCTGTGGAACAAACAGTTGGGGTCAGTCCTCGGCTGGACTGTCCACTGCTTTGCTGTTTCTCTGTGTCTTGTTTTTCTTAACCCAGGGACTGTGGGCTGCAAAAATTTTTATGCTCTCTGTATATGTTAAAGACCGCATTAAATCGTTTTTTAGCTAAGGCATATAGAGAATTTGTGATCACCCTGTGTATCTCTAAGTATATCCACATAGGGCAGAAATTAGAGTCTACCTGACAACTATGGTGGACATGGGAGGCTCATTCGTGTTTCTCTTCAGTAAGTGACATTTCTTCCACGCATCATTTACATTGTTGATGATTTTTCTTTTCCACGGGGGCATTCTGTTCGGCTTTGGGGTCAGATTAATCTCTTCTGGCAACTGATGTCTTGCTAAGATTCTTTCTAAGCCAGAGAGTTCAGGATTCTCACCTAGTAATAGAATAAGCATTAATACATTCAATGTTGCTCTCCATCTGTGCATAGCAAGAGTAACACGACACTGGTTTGAGAAAAAATACATATGCAGCTTAATAATTCTTTTTTAGCTTTGTCATTCCTTTATTCCAACAATAATACTGAGCACCATTTAGATCTTAACCTGGTCCTAGACATCTAGCAGATAACATCGTAAATAAATAAAAGAATGAGCAAAAAAGCAGACATGCTGGGACCGCACAGAGTTTGTTATGTGTGCCTGATTCTCAAACTAACGGCGAGTTACCATACAATTATTATTATTGTGATCTCACTTTCCCTTTAACTGCATACTTAATTGGAGATGCACATTTGGAAGCTTCCCAGAAGAAACAGGGTGAAATTATTGTCAGGCTCCAAAACTTGGGGCTCCCTTTTATTGGCGATTTTGCCTGAGCAAAAGTTACTACATAGGACTGAACTTAAAATAGCAGCGTGCTGTCAGTTAGAATGTGGGAGTGTGACTTACTGTTCTTTTTGACTCCACAAAATTCATTTCTGGTCTGGCCATAAATGGGCGGGTTTTTTCTCGCTCTGTTATAAGAATGTCTATTTTCAGCTATGCCAGTGGGAAATGCCTTCCTTCTTTTGGGTGCTCCAATAACTGAGGTTTGGACCACTGCAGGCTACTGTAGAAACTCTCCGGGTGGCCAGTGGTACAGCTACAACAGCATGGTGGAGCTGCTTTGAGAAGATGAAGTCAATACAGAGGGGCTTAGATCCTTTGTTAACAGAAATGGAATAGTATCCCTCCCTGGTCAGCCAGCAGCTCCATGAGAGCTCCAGAATAGAGTGTAGTGGTGCAATTACAGCTCGCTGCAGCCTCAGCCTCCTGGGCTCAAGCGATCCTCTGACCTTAGCCTCCTCAGTAGCTGGACTACAGGCATGCACCACCACACCCAGCTAATTTTTGTTATTTTTTGTATAGATGGGGGTCTCACTTTGTTGCCTAGGCTGATCTCAAATTCCTAGCCTCAAGCGATCCTCCTGCCTCAGCTTCCCAAAGTTAACTTTATATTTAAAATATAAAAGAAAAACCTGGGTTTAAAAAAAAATTATGGATGTTTAGTTCTTTTTCTTTCATTCTTCATGTAATCATTTCTGGGTAACCAATACAGGCAAAGCATCCTGCAAGTGAAGAGTGGGTTGACAGGAAAAGGAACAAAACCTATTTTTAAGGTCAAAAGAAATTTCTTCTAGAGGACGACTTTAGACCCAGCAGCAGGGAGACATCAGTATCCATTATTAAAGTCTTGGTCTGATGAATGAAAGTCAGAGAAATAGGGTCATGTCTTCAGGATGCATTTGCAAGGCAATCACTATATGTTTGGAAATGGCATCTTGGCAATGAAGCAAACTTTTAGTGATGAATTCACAACCTCGAAGTCCAGCGTGCTCCCAATGACTGGACTTAGCCTGAGGCCAGGTCCCTGAAGGCACAAATTCAGGACTCTAAAGAACATTTCTTCCCCCTTAATGCCATTCACCTCACTTGCGTGAACCTCCTTAAACAAGTTTCCAACCGTAGCAAATAATCACTGCACCCACACACCTCTGAAACAAAGGACCTCACTGCTGCTTGGCAGTTGTACATGGCAGGAACTACCAGCTGCTAAACATCTATCGGTGTTTACATTGGGAGGCTACAGAGACAAAATCTAATCAACATGGAACGGGAAATTCTCTAGAAAATCAAAACCCATTTCTCCAACTTCATGTAATTACTGCATTTTCAATTTTTTTTTGGGGGGGGGGCGCGGAATCTAGCTTTGTCGCCCAGGCTGGCATGCAATGGTGCAATCTTGGCTCACTGCAACCTCCACCTCCCGGGTTCAAGCAATTCTCCTGCCTCAGCCTCCCGAGTAGCAGGGATTACAGGCGCCTGTCGCCACGCCCAGCTAATTTTTGTATTTTTAGTAGATATGGGATTTCATTGTGTTGGCCAGGCTGGTCTCAAACTCCTGACCTCATGATTTGCCCACCTTGGCCTCCCAAAGTGCTGGCATTACAAGCGTGAGCCACTGGCCCCCGCCTGTATTTTCAATGTTAATGTTGCATTTTAATTGCAAAAGTAAAATGTTTCCACTGGAATAATTAAAATGAAAAAACTGAGCCAAGTCTACATAGTAAAAAGGGAAAGCTTTCCTTTATTTTCCCTCTCCAAGCTCTATCCTTCAGAGGTAGTCACTGTCCTGAATTTCCTGAGTCTCCTTCAAAACTCCTTTTTTTTTTGAGACAGAGTCTCACGCTGCTCATGGCAACATCCGCCTCCCGGGTCTGCTTCTGCCTCAGCTTCCCAAGTAGCTGGGATTACAGGCATGCACCACTATACTTAGCCAATTTTGTGTATTTTTAGTAGAGATGGGGTTTCACCATGTTGGCCAGGCTGGTCTTGAACTCCTGATCTCAAGTGATTCACCCGCCTTGGCCTCCCAAAGTGCAGGATTACAGGCATGAGCCACCACACCCAGCCTCAAAATTCTTTTCTATGCATTTATATACACATACATATATACAAATGTACAGTTTTCTTTTGGCATACTTGGATCCATGTTGTGTATCTTCCTTTGTAGCTTATTAAAATTCTACAATATGCATTGTAGCTATGCTAATGTCAACCTTCTTTTTAATACTATTCCTCTATATAGATATATGCCTTCATTTAATTATTTTGCTACTGGTTGTCATTAGGTCATTTAAATTTTTGACTATTATAAACAATGCTTCAGTGCATGGCCATGTTCATGCATCTTTGTGTTCAGCTATAAGTTATTTCTCTAGGATAATAGCTGGAAGTGGAATTGCTAAGTAGAAGGACATGTATGTGTTACAGGACATGAAAATATAAATTTTTCCACTGTCTGTTTTATCCAAGACCCCAAAGTCTGAGGAAAGTTGAGTAGGTACCACACATGCATGCACAGCATACCTATCAATCTTTGAAAAAACTGAGCATTCTTTCAGAATTCGTGAAGGCGCCTGAGGATTTCTTTAGACACAGAGTTGGGGTAGTGCTGTCTACTATATCATTTCCCTCCCCACCCTTGGCTTTAAGGGGACTTTAGAGAACAACCTGGGGAATTGGACTATGTCTCCTAACGCTGGTGCATCAGTTTCCTAGGGCTGTCATAACAGCGTCACAAACTGTGTGACTTAAAACAACAAATTTATTGTCTCACAGTTCAGGAGGCTGAAAGTCAGAGACGAAAGGCCATACTGAAACCTTGAGGGGAGAATCTTTCTTCGTCTCTCCCTAGTTTCTGGTGTTTGCCTGCAATCTTTGGTCTCCTTGACTGTGGATGTATCACTCCCATCTCTGTCTCTACTGTCACAAGGCCACCGTCTCCTGCTTGTCTCTGTCTTCTTATAAGGACACCAGTCCTACTGGATGAAGAACCCACTCGATACCTATTATGACCTCATCTAAGTTTAATTAATTACATCTGCACTCTGTACCCTATTTCCAAATCTAGTCACGTTCTGGGGTACTGGGGATTAGGACTTCAGTATATCTTAAAGAACTGATATCTTGTTGAGGGACTTCCATATATCTTGCTGAGCCCATAACACCTGGAAACATAATGGTGAGTGGCTGGGATCACAGCTGCCGTGGCCACAGAGAAAAGAGGCAGTGTTGAAACCAACTGTGCTTTCACCAACTGGGTGAAGGTATGGGGGACAAGGGCACAGATTTTCTACGGGCTTGATGTAAACCCCATCTGGGCGTGGTGGCTCACGCCTGTAACCCAGCACTTTGGGAAGCTGAAGCAGCGGATCACCTGATGTCAGGAGTTCGAGATCAGCCTGGCCAACATGGAGAAACCCAGTCTCTACTAAAATACAAAAGTTAGCTGGGTGTGGTGGCACATGCTTGTAATCCCAGCTACGCGGGAGGCTGAGGTAGGAGAATCACTTGAACACGGGAAGTGGAGGTTGCAGTGAGCTGAGAACACAGTGCCGCACTCCAGCCTGGGTGACGGAGTGAAACTCCCTCTCAAAATAAATAAATAAATAAATAATAAAGTTTAAAAATTTTTAAAAATGTAAATCCCTTGAAAAATACAGTTGATCATTGAATAACATGGAGGTTAGGGGCACTGACCCCTGCACAGTTGAAAATAAGCATGTAAGTTTCTTTTGTTAAAGAGTCTTGCTATGTTGCCCAGTCTGGTCTCGAACTCCTGGGCTCAAGTGATCCTCCTGCCACAGCCTTTTGAGTAGCTGAACGTGGTAGTATAGCACCGTACCACGCCACCACACCCAGCTACTTTTTGGACTTTTGACTCACTCAAAACTTTTACTAATAGCCTACTGTTCACCAAAAGCCTTACTGTTAGCATAAACAGTTGATTAACACATATTTTATATGTCTTATGTGTTATATATCACACTGTTACAATAAAGTAAGCAAGAAAATGTTATTAAGAAAATCAGGCTGGGCACAGTGGCTCGGGCCTGTAATCCCAGACCTTTGGGATGCCGAGGCCAGTGCATTGCTTGAGGTCAGGAGTTCAAGACTAGCCTACCAACACAGTGAAACCCCGTCTCTACTAAAAATACAAAAATTAGTCAGGCGTGATAGCAGGTGCCTGTAATCCCAGCTACTCGGGAGGCTGAGATGGAGACTTGCTCAAACCTGGGAGGCAGAGGTTGCAGTGTGCCGAGATCGTGCCATTGCACTCCAACCTGAAAGAGCAAGAAGACTCTGTCTCAAAAAAAAAAACAAAGAAAAGAAAAAAGAAAAAGAAGAGAAATACATTGACATTAGTGTATTTATTGATACCATAAGTCGACATCATCTGTTTACAAGATAAATTGTCTGAAGTGATAACATCATGACTCTTCTCTGCTTCTTGGAAGTACTTCCAGCATCACTAGTGGCCCTTTTGTGAGTCCCATGGTGTTAGTCAAGTTTCATGGTATTGCACTAAACACGAAAAATACACGACGACTGT